AAGAAAACATATATATATATATATATATATATATATATATATATAGTACACACTTTTTTCTTTTAAGAATTTAGTGTGTATTTTTAAGGGAATGTACCAAGCAGAATTCGATTGAAAATAGGTATGTGTTATAAAATAGAGGTTAGAAAATGAATGTTATAACTGTAAAGGAGTAACTTAAATTTTTAAACAAGATTTTGAAAAAAGATACAAATTAGTATCTAGTAATTACAGGGGAAAATTTGTTTTATGAGAAAAGATAATATGAAATTGAAAACAAGACAGACAAAAGTATAAAAACATTGATTAGAAAGATTTTAAAATTAGAAAAAGATATGTAATTGAATTAAGAAAGGAATGAGATAATTTAAAATAAGGCTATAGGAAATAAAGAAAGGGAAAAGCTATTGACAAAAATGTGAAAATAGTTATAAGATATGGATTAGAATGCATAAGATAATATGTATTATGACTGTGTGGATAAGTGATAACCCGGGGCCACGCTGTTCTCTAAAATAGATATTTTATTTGTATTTGTATATTTTGTGAAAACTTAAATAAACTTAGTTTTTTAAAAAAGAAAGTATTAGGGGGAAAAAGGAAACCAATTATGAAATGTGCCTTTTAAAAATGTGTGGCAGAAGAATAATGTGCTTCTCAAAAGACTGTGCAGGTATCATCTGCCCTGAATGTTAAAAGACTAATTTTCTTATTGTTCTTATATATAATTTAAATCAGACTCTATAAATCTTACTCTAAAATAGTTTCAAATGGTCAGTATAGGATGCTTTATACAGTAGTTTATTCTTCCTTGCCCATAGAGTTCATCTCTTCCTAGAGGCAGTAACTTGCCACAAGCTATTGAATGGGTCCACAGTACAGTATACGGTTTATATGAACTACTCTATGTACATTTTATTCCAAGGACTGCAATTTAAGTGATCTTCCATTGAACGTTAAACAGAGCAATGTCCCTGGCAAAACCTAAGCAATAATTACACAATATGTGCAGGATACATTGCCCATATTGCTAAACCTTGTCCAAGTACTTTATTGTACTTCATGCAGGTATTATTGTAAGCTTTTAAAAACTGAATGTACTTTTGCAATCTTTAATAGAAACTAATAATTCACCACTGCTGTTCAAGTAATATGTTGATAAGTTTTGCATAGCCATTGTCTGAGAATATGCATTATTTTGATTCCCATATGTTCATATAAATGTCAGTTGTGCCACATGTCCACTAAATATAATTTAGGAAATTGTAAAGGAATCATGAATGTGTGTCAAAACATAGTGATTCTAATAGGGAAAGGATGGACTATAATAAAGTCACAAATTATGTATGAACATAAGTGTTATGTCACTTACATTACAACATTGTGTTAATTTAGTTATTTAGGAATTTGTTCTGGATTGGTTGTCATATTGGCTTGTGCAATAGAATAAAGATCAAACAAATTTACACATATTTTTGTCTAATAAAGAAATTAATTAGTATAATGAAATTGGTTGAATTTTTTTTGCTGCTGGACAATATCTTTTAGTTCTCATCCTAGGTTACAGTTACTATTGTTTGACATGGTTCTATATAATTATATTCAATCTGAAAATATAAACATTACAGTTAGTAATCTAATATGTAACTATTAGATTTATATTATACAATCACATTGTACAATCTTGCTTCCAGACAGTTAAATCACATTTTCACACTTAAATCAGCATATTAGACATGATGCGGTATCCTTCTATAATTTGAATAATTCAGAACTGTAGCAAGGAAAACTGATACAAAAATTTTGAAATCAAGGATATCGGTGGCATAAAAAAGGTCTCCCATTAGAATGCAATGTTTCTTATTAGCTGCTGTTCTGAGGAGCAAAAAGACAGTCTTCCCGTTGAAATATATCTGCAAGATGGTAATAAAAACTGAAAGATCAATAGTCTTTGCATGTGAAAAAGGTTACCAAAACCTGGATACCTTTAGATGGCAGCAGACAGATATGGAAAACTCATTCTTTGCCACTATCGACAGGCCATCTACATTTTGCAGTCGAGATCTGATAACTGTAGAATTTGTAAACCAAAGCACAACTAGCACAACTTGATTAGTTGTTTGTCAATATCTTGGTCTATGTTTTGCCTAATCGGATGTAAACATTTGAGTAGAAATATGCCACGCAAGGGATTCGTAGAAAACTAACCAAACACATGTTCACATGTGATGTTTAAATTACCAGTGAGCTGATTTAATAATGCTGGTCACCACCAAGCAGAATGCTGGAGGGAGTGTTAAAATTGGTGCATATTCTGTCTAACATAGGTTTTATTTTTAAATTGTATTTCAAGAGTTTTCCTGATAGTAAATATATACAAAGGAGACATCAGTGATCCAGTATCTACTGAATATATTTGGAATTTTTATAAAATAGAACAGTGTCCATTCACATCATACCTACTAAGCAACTGTGATTGTGCTCTTGCCAGCCACACACACATATGAAGATACAAGATCACAATATAAAATGTAAAATTTAAATATCAGCTAAATGAATACAAACTAATAATCACTAGAAATTTTAATTTTATCATAATTATACATTTATTCATGTTGTCATCTACTTTTTCACAACCAAATATGGGTTGTGAATCGAGAACTGTGGAGACCTTGAATAGGCAACCAGTTATTTCTATTTTGCCTGCCTAGTGCGGAAGCTCCAAGAAGCACAATAACCTAGTCACTCTTATCTAGTGGAATACTGCTTCTGACATTGGTGTAATGTATTACCATCAATAACCTCATCCGTCAGGAATTTATCTAATCATCTTCTAAAGCCTTCTATGCTGGTGGCAACTGCTCATATCTTTTGCAGCCAATTCCATGTACTATGTGAAAAAGAATTCTTTTATTTGTTGGACTCTAATATTTCAAGTATCTCCTTGTCTGCTATCTCCACCTCATACCAAGTTTCTACTCCCTTTTATTCCTTCACATCCTCCACACTTTGAAAGCTTGAGATCTTTTTCCCAAGGGATGGCTTGTTCAACCCCTTGTTTATTTACTGACTGCTGCTCCTTCTCTCAAAGACACTTGAGAGTTCAGAGTGATTTCTGATGAGTCCTTTATCAACATGTATCCAACCATGCTGTTTTCTTAGCAACAGTACCCAAGTGATTGGTCACTCCTGCGTTAGGAGGTTTTTCATGTTCATAATCTAGCCTATGGCTTTGGTGTTACTGGATGGTCTGTCATCCAAGTCCCAATCAAGTCTCTCTGGTTTAGCTTCAGGCATGTTCAACCAGGTACTGTCACCTGCTAGACATTTTTGTCAACATGCGCTTGGGGCACATACATTGTGGCATCCATATTTTTTTTGCTACCTTATATTTTACAGAATAACCTATAGCAGAGTCCTTGGTGCTCTCTGAGCTTGGCTATACTTTATATATCCAAATCTTTATAATTGGCTAAGTTCCCACTATAGCTCCTAAAATCACATTACAAACAGTCCTCTACATACAATGTGTACATCAGTGTACCATTCAAAGTTACAACGGCACTGAAAAAAAGTCTTATGTTTTTCACACTTATCCCCATGGTCACATGACCAAAATGCAGACGCTTGGCAACTGGTTCATATTTATGCATTTGCAGTGTCCCAAAGATATGTGGCCACCTTTTGTGATCCTCTGACAAGCAGTCAATGGGAAGCCAGATTCAGTTAACAGCTTTACCAGTAACTTAATAATTGCAGTGTTTCACTTAACAACTGTGGCAAGAAAGGTCGTAAAATGGGACAACATTCAGTCAACAAATGTCTCATTTATCAACAGAAACACCAGGCTCCATTGTGGTTGTAAGCCGAGGACTACCTGTGTATATCCCCGTTGCCAGTGCCTTCTAAACTTATATCTATTTCTGAGTCTCCAAAAGAATTATAGATAGCAAATTTCAAATTGAGGACTTAGCTAGTTCAGTAAAGAATATTTGTAGGTTGAAATGAGGGAGGTCCTTGGTGCTCTCTGAACTTGCTTGTTTTCTTGCAGATGTTTCATTACCCAAACTAGGCAACCTCCTCAGTGCTAGTAAGGTGTGTGGGTTTGCTGTCAGTTTATATTTACAAATCAAATCAAAAAATAAATAAATATTCTAGTGTCTTGCCTATCTATGGTTGGGCTGTTTACTGATGACTCTGGCAATTTCTTTAATTGGAGTATTTGTTTACTTGGCTAATTCAGCAATACTCTGAAGAAGAAGAAAAAGCAGCACCGCAGAGGGGATAACTAGTACCTAGGACAGAGTAAACTCTCCCCAAAGCCTCTTTTTTACAGAGCTACTGTCAATCGGGAGGAACTCCATCCTCCAAAACCGGAGGCGCGGGTCCATTTTTCCAGCTTTACTCAGCCATTAGCCCACTCGCGATTTGCCCGAGCCCAAAAACTCCGGCCGACCTCTATAGAGTTTACACGGGGGCGTGTGGTGGTGGTGGTGAAGGTGAGGTGGGCGTAGCCCACTCCAACATCATCCCCCAGGACAAGGTGTGCAGCTGAGCAGCGATCTGTGCAAGACCTTCGGGGCGGGAGTGAGGGGGGGGGGCAACGCTAGCTGGCGAGGGGAGACACTGACACGGCTTCTTCCCCTCTGAGAGGGCGTCTGTTGGTGCCCTGTAGGATGCGCGCAGTGAGGCTCGGGTGCAGGACGGACGGGAGACATTCTCTCCTCAGCAGCCAAGCCGCGGGCGGGGGAGAGAAGGAGACGTCTCGCTCGCCGCTGGTTGCCGGCTGGCAGTGCGCACGCAGCCGCCTCGGCTCCTTCCTTCTCTCCCTCCCTCCCTCCAGCTCGCTCCATTGTCCCCCCTCCCATCCGCCTGCCTGCCTGCTCGCTCGCTCTCCCTCCCTCCCTCCCTTCTCTTCTCTTCTCTCCCCCCGCCACACCAGTTCCCCGCTCTCGCGTTGGTTGCCGGGATCGCTGGCCGCTTTGGTTAATGTCCGCCATGTTTGCCATGGCGCAGGGAGCGGATCGAGCGACCCCGGCGCGGATCTAGGGCTGCGGGCGGCTCTTCGAGGGAGCTGTTCCGGGGCGGCGGGGCTCTCCATGGTGTGTCGGGCCGGGGTCGGGAGCGGCTGGGAGGCGGCGGTGAGGCCGTAGTGAGGGTCCTCCTCGCCCCCCCAGCTCCCCCAGCCCGGCCCCGGGGTGTTATTGTGAGGGGGAGACAATGAGCAAACTCTCCTTCCGAGCCCGGGCGCTAGACGCCGCCAAACCGCTGCCTATCTACCGCGGCAAGGACATGCCCGACCTCAATGACTGCGTCTCCATCAACCGTGCCGTGCCGCAGATGCCCACGGGCATGGAAAAGGAGGAGGAATCGGTAAGGGAGCCGCGCAGGGGGGGCCCACCATTGTTTATCAGACGTCCCCCTCCCCTCACGGGAAATAGGCCATTGGCATTCACTAAGCGCCGCTACGCACGCTTCCCGCCGCAGCGGCGCACGTTCCCGATGGGGCCTGCGTAAAGAGCGCAGCGTAAACTCTCCTCCGTCGCCGTAAGCGGGGCCTTGCTCCGCCATCTTGCTTGCCCAGGACTCGCGAAGTGTTTTGATTAGCGGGGGGGGGGGGGGGAGAGAAAGAGGGGGAGAGGCCTTACGCTGGCGTAACTGGAAGGAAGCGCAAAAGGCGTCCCTGAATGGAAGAGTATGCGCGCCGGCCGCTATTGCCGGAACTTGTGAGCTGTTAAACCAGGATCGGTCGGGTTTTCGGTTTTTGAGTCGGGCCTTTGCGACTTGGCCTGGAGGACCGCTAGTGTTCCTAGTGGAAGGAGAGTCCTTGCTTCAAGGGATTCAATTCTTCATATGACAGGCTTTGCCTTCCCCCCCCCCCCCCCCCCCCCCCCGGTTCGTTTTGAAGCTGGCGGCTCCTTTAGCAGCCAGTGGGGGTAGCTCTTCGTCTGCATAAAAGTGGCAAATCGTAGGTTTGGGGAAAGCGAGCCAAAGTCTTGAGTCCCCGTTACATTTTCATAAAATAACGTTGTGCCCTTTTGTTTTGGGACTTTGAGCCCCCCTTCCCCTTTTTTCTTCTCTGACATTCTTACGCTTTTCCAAACCATGCTCTTAAGCTGTCAGTTGCTTTGGCTAATGTATAGGCAAAGTAAAACATCTTGAATTTCTGTATAATCTTCACCTCTGTTAACTTGACACGTCTGGGATGTTTGTATTTTAACTCACGAGACAAGCTTTCTAATTGCAATTCTTTCCTTAGGCAATTCGGAAATCTTTATGTATGCTTAAAGGGGGGGGGGTAAATTTAGGTTAGGATTGCACAGACTCACACATTTCAGGGGCAAATACTTTAAAGGCTACTATGTGTCCATAGACTTATAACTTGAGATCAATTAAGGGGACTAGTCACTGACAAATGGAAACAAACTCTTTTCCGAAGATATTTCTAATGACTGAGTATAATTTGCTGCAAACACATGGTACTAATCTATAGGTCACATTTGATCCCATTGTGAATTTAATTTTAAAGCTGCATGTGTAATTCTCCATGCTCTGTTGTGCAATTTGAAGAAAATAGCTGTTGTCTGTACTCTTGCTTGGGTAAAGAGTGCATTCTTTGCCCTAAAAACTGGACTTTATGTATTCTATCATTTTATTTTTTGCTTGCTATACACAAATTGCTCATGACAAGGGCAACGTGTGCATACAGAATTCATAGTAAATGTCCTTAGGAATTTCTTCAATGAAAAGATATCTCCGCCTCATTGCCAGCCCACATTGTACTTGATTGGTTTTTCAGAGGTTGGAGTTGTCAACATCAACAAAGACTGCACTTCATTATGATTGGCTTTCAAATTTAGCCTTTTAAAATAGACAGCTTTCTAGTCCTTGATTGGTAGCTTGTAGTTACATCTTAACTGTGTTTTCTTTTTTATTATGAATTTTAAAGTGCTTAAATGTTGCTAATTCAGTGCTAGTTTTTTGTCAGATGTATGTTTGTAAAGTTAACTAATATTTACACATATTTTGTTGATTTTATTTTTCACTGTACAGATTAGTTGAAAACAAAATAATATCACTCAAATGTAAAAGTAATATGCAAAAAGTGGAATTGTCTAAACAGCCAGTCTAAAGTTGTGTTAAAGGTAACAGTATCATCTTAAACTAGATATAAAATGTGATCTATGGATGTAATTTTAAAACAATTTAAATAAAATTCCCATAAATTTATGCTAACGTTTTTACTACTTTGAAATGTATACAAACTAATAATTGCATGCAAATTGACATTTCCATCATAATCCATTAATTTTGCAGGAAAGTACTTCCAAATCATAAGGAGAGAATTTGGGAAATTATAGTCAGTTCTAATTATATTTACTAAGAAGTATTCCCAAAGTATGTAGCATTTATTCTGAAGTATTTTAGCATATTTTTGTTTTAAATATTCTATGACAGTGATGGCTAACCTTTTCGTTGTCGTGTGCCGAAAGTGCACGTGCATGTGCACACATGTACCTGCACCCATAATGCAATGCACATGCGTGCACTCCTGCCCCCTGCACATATGCACATGTGTCCCACCTGCACCCCGCTCTGTGCACATGTGCGGCAGATACCTGACAATCAGCTAGCTGGTGGGAAGCACGTGCGCATGTGTAGTGGAACTGAGCCAGGGCGAAGGCTCGTGTGCCAGCAGAGATGGCTCTGCGTGCCACTTCCGGCACGCTTGCCATAGGTTTGCCCTCACAGCTCTATGAATTTACAGATTATATAAAGTAAGTAAATACTGAATCAGTCATGTTTATTCTCATGGAAGCTTTCTCCAGACATGACTGAATTCTTATCCAATGTTCTGCCTTTCTACTGCAAGTAGTTGTCAATAAAAAAAAACACAGGGTCAGATGGCAAAGAAAAAAAAGTCTACTCTGCTGGGCTGTAGATCTCAGTGGGGTGTTGTCTAAATAGATTCTGAGAGTGTCAAAACTTATGTTTTAGTCATAATGACTTATATATTCCTTCCGCTATCAGAGCAATCTGCATTTCAGTACCAGTTTGTAGAAATAACTTCTCAAGGAATTACAGCTTTCATATTCTATTACTTGGAGTTTCCAAGGATGTCCAAGTTATCGTGGTGGGGAACTGAATGCAAGATTGCATGAGTGTAGCTTCTTCAACAGGGAGATTCTTAAAATGCAACTGATCCCCTGTAAATAGCTCTCCATCAATGAAAAACATAACCAAGACAATCTGGTGTCATCCAGCAGAGCTTCTTTTGTGGATTGCAGCTTATTCTTAGCCACAGTGGCACAGTGGTTAGAGTGCAGTATTGCAGGATACTTCTGCTGATTGTCGTCTGCCTGCAATTTGGCAGTTCAAATCTCACCAGGCTTCCATCCTTCCAAGGTGGGTAAAATGAAGACCCAGATTGTTGTGGGCAATAACTGACTCTGTAAACCACTTAGAGAGGGCTATAAAACACTGTAAAGCGGTATATATGTCTAATGCTATTGTTATTCTAGGTAACAGCATGGTAGCAATAAATGAAGGGATTTTTTAAAATTTTCTATAAAACTTAGTTGTATTGTGCTTGATTATATTCTCATTGGCTTGTTTTGCTCTTTTTGTTGTTTGAGAAAAATACATGGTGTATATAATGTACAGTATATTCATAGGCCTAACAATAGGGAGAATATGAAATGAGATTATTATGAAGTAACTGGGAACGTGGCCTTGAGTTTAACAAAGTTTAGTTCACAAATTAGGATATTTTATTCAGTCAGAACAGGGTGAATACATTTGATTCTCCCTGTTTTCCGCTTTTAAATCTTCACAAAATCATAAAACCATCTGATTTGTAGAACCTGGATGTGTTTCAGAAGGAGAACTCCCTTTTAAAAAAAAAAATATAATGGGAAAGAAGGGGATACTGGATTTTGTGACCAACACCTGCTTTCAATTCAAAGTGACCTTGATCTGTTACAGTAGTTAATTGTTCACAGCATCTTGCAAATTGAAGATCCTTAGTTTTATGACTCATTCCACTTTGTTGTTCGGTCTCACTGTGAGAACTTGTATAAACATAACAGTATTTTGTGAACTGCATTAGTTAGATGAACTTGTTTACTGAATGGAATGATTTGATGGAAAACAAAAATCAATAGTTTGACATTTCTACTACTCCATTTTGGGAGGGTCATATTAATTTTTAAAAATCATTAATTCCTTTTGTACAAGTATCACTTAATTATGTGCCTGAAATTTAACATGGACTTTCCTAATATAGAAATTATATTTTGGCAAATTTGATGTGTTACTCAAAATAACAAAACTACAGGTATAATAAAGCTTAAAAACTGCAGCCTTTTCTTACGAAAAGCTTTATAGTTTACAACATTTAAAAAACTTACGGTATACCCCCCCTTGCTAGACAATTAGGAAAAGTTTTTATGCAAATCCAGATACTGATTTTGCAATCAACCAACCAGATCCCAATCATGAATTCCTTTCAGTTGAGAACTGACCTGATAGGAGAGCTGAAGATCCATGGCTCTCATTATTCCATCCTTAATTACTTCCTAGCTGCCCAAAATGAATTACGATGATAAGGAAAGGAAGGCTAGCTTCTGGGCCCCAGGCACATATAGAAATAAAGCTTTTCTAATTTCAGTATCTGTTAAAAGCATTCAGTGAGCCATCATAAAATATTCAGTTGTCCCCTTTCTTCCATTGTTTGTTTAACCAGAATGTGTTATGTGTGTACCACAGCTAATCAGGGCTGTTCTCTTAACTGGAATTGGAATTCCATGTTAAACACTAGTTTAAAATGAAAAATTAAAGTTTTATTAACATTCTTGGAGTTTAAATATAATATATAAATGTACATATTCATTTCTGTCAAAAGCATATGCTGACTTATTTTAGACAGAATGTGTTTCATAGATTTGTAAAGTATGTTACATTGATCATTTTCTGAAACCTCTCAAGCTGTTGCAATACATTGTTCTCCTCTTTTTTTGCATTGAAGAAAATAAAAAAAAATCACCTGATCCTCTGTTTTATCTTGATTTTACTGATACAGTACAGTAGATACCAGATGAATTAGCTAAGCCAGCAAAAAGGAGTGTACACACTTTGAACTTCATTTTTAGTTTCTGTTTCAGCTAAACTAAACAATTTAAACTAAAAGTATCTCATTAAATGAATATGTCTGTGCAATAAATTGAATTCTATTCCAGCCAATCACACTTGAGCCAATGTGCTGTACCAACGTAGCCTATACAATATGTTGCTGATTCAGAAAATAGGACTGAGTAATCATAGTTAGGTTCACTGAAAAGGTGGAAGAAAGATGAACATTGCAGGCACTGTGT